GTTTAACTCTCTCTTTACACATGTACGGAATATCTCATTAATTTTCAATCATTCTCTTTTTCTAAATACACGGTTATCACTTTCCTCTCACCCTTGCTTAGTTATACTATATACGTAAATATATTTTGATATATTTTTCTGATTAAAGACAAAAAAAAAAAAAAATCGTGCGCCATTATTGAGAATTATTGAGAAAGTATCCATTATAATGTACTTTTCAGCCTTTTTATACTCATGAGTAAATTTGAGAGCAGCCCGTCTTTACTCTCTGGCAAGCCGGATCATCCTGGAACCCACACCTCCGTACCTTACATCTCGGTGCCCTACCTCGGTGCCCTATACCTCGGTGCCCTACCTCGGTGCCCTATACCTCGGTGCCCTACCTCGGTGCCCCATACCTCGGTGCCCCATACCTCGGTGCCCTACCTCGGTGCCCCATACCTCGGTGCCCCATACCTCGGTGCCCCATACCTCGGTGCCCCATACCTCGGTGCCCTACCTCGGTGCCCCATACCTCGGTGCCCCATACCTCGGTGCCCTACCTCGGTGCCCTACCTCGGTGCCCCATACCTCGGTGCGCCATACCTCGGTGCCCTACCTCGGTGCCCTATACCTCGGTGCCCCATACCTCGGTGCGCCATACCTCGGTGCCCTACCTCGGTGCCCTATACCTCGGTGCCCTACCTCGGTGCCCCATACCTCGGTGCCCCACCTCGGTGCCCCATACCTCGGTGCCCCACCTCGGTGCCCCATACCTCGGTGCCCTACCTCGGTGCCCCATACCTCGGTGCGCCATACCTCAGTGCCCTACCTCGGTGCCCCATACCTCGGTGCCCTACCTCGGAGCCCCATACCTCGGTGCCCTATACCTCGGTGCCCTACCTCGGTGCACATTTAACTTCATTTACTCTACAAAATTTCTTTTAAACTTTATAATTTTCATTGCTATCAAAGCCATATTACAAGTTCAAACTCAATATACACATTTATTGACAATAATCAAAATCGAGGAAATGAATTGAGACGCCGTGTGTTTGATGACTAATTAATTAATGACTTGCCAAAAACGGAAATAATCTCTACGTTCATGGTTTAATCATTTGATCTCTAGATACAGAATGATCTGGTGTTGATATGTCAGAAGAATTAATCTTCCCTGCATAAATAAAGTCAGTTTGACTAGTCATTGCATATATGACTCATTGTGGGGATCAGTAAAACACAGTTGATGCGCTTAACTCTTATGTATTGAGGAGGATCTACGTGGCACAACCGAGGGTTGTTTACATTACGGATATAAAAGTCTGCCGATAGAAGGCGTACAGTAGTTGCAATTTGCGCAATTCTAGCTTCGCCCGGGCCTTCGGCTATGGCCCGGCCAATGGCGTTCATAAAATAAAACATACTCTTACATGGGTAACTCAACAAAATATAATTTTACTTTAGTTTAGGTAATATGAGGTATATCATTGATACATGAGATAAAAATATCCTTATACTAATAACCATCTTTGATTATTCCAACATCTAGAAATATATTTAAATAATTTCCGTTGTAAAATATAAGCACAGCTATGTTTCACTTGCGAAAATAAGAACACTCAGATCGAGGCGGGCCTCAAGTAAAGAATTTCAGACTTCTTTTCAGGCTGAAAGGGCGGAGTTTAAACGAGGACGTAAAATAATAAATTCTGAACAGCTCTCCCGAGCGTTAGAAAAAATTCAACGAGTTGGTACTTTACTTACCAAAGACGGTTTAACATGTGTTTGGATAATCATATTTCTAGTGACTATTATTAACTGAAGGTTCATGATAAAACCTAACTTGTTGTTTTATGATGGTGATGACATATATATGCATACCAAACGTGTATCCACTGTAAGGTTATGTGAAAGAGGAACCAAAGTGAGGCCCTCGTGAAGCGGGAGGCTTCAGGCTTCAGGGCCGCTCGCTCCTCGCAAAGGGGGGGGGGGGGGACCAAGATGAAAGGCTCAGAATCCACGCGACCTCACACAACTATCCCCGGAGATGCAGACCTACCAGGAGCGTGACCAATACGAAGATACACGATAAAGAAAATACAAAATCCTACAACGAACAAAGAGAACCGTGCAGAAGGCACCAAAGCAAAACTGAAGCCAATACAAAAAAGGAAACAGGTGCCAGAAGGGCTTAAAAACAGTAAGAAAAACTGACATCTAAACTCAAATAAGTAAAAGGTGAAACGAGGAGAAAGTAAAAGATCGTAAAAATAGACAGAAAAGTTTTAAAAAGCAAAAGCTGAAGTAAAAGACGAGTAAAAGGGTAAAGCACGAATGAAGGAAGCGAGTGGAAGCACAAGATAAAAGTAAGTAAAATTCAGGGCAAGTGAAAAGCCGAAGTCAAAGCACACATGGTTCATAGTAAAACGTAATGTAAAAGAATAAAACGCGTCCAGCAAGAGAAAAGGGGCAGACAACCTTGTTTCGGCATCCAAAGGGCAAAACCACAGAACAGTCAGAATATACACTTCGTTTATTAAACAAAAACATAGGGGTTACATCAACTCCCGCGGATAGAAGCGTAGCACATAAAACAATAAAAGTAATAAATAGGGAATGTTATAATAAAACAAAATATACAGAAGATTAAACCAATAACAAAAAACAATAAACTTTAAAAGAAATCATTAAAAAATATATATAATTATGATGAAAATTACGTACAACAATCGGCTGCGATTCATTAATAAAAATCTTAAGACAAGTTACTTTCTCTCGCTGGATAAGAGAGAAGGAAAGGATGACTATGCAAAAAAAAGAAGAAAAAAAAAACATTCAAAAGTAAAACTGAGCCTAAGATACAAAAAAAAGGTGAAAGAAAGATTCCTTCGCAGCAGGTGTCGATGTTCTGTTATCCGCATATCGCGCGAAGCACCGTAAATATATATGGATAACGAAAGAATCTCAATAAAGGTTTTAAATTAGAAAGGTGTAAATAAACGTAAAATACACGTAAAACGAGCCAGCGTCATACAAAAATAAAAAGAAGCGCAAAAATGAGGTTGGCGGAGGGAAGTGGCCCGGCTGTGCTCGCCCCTGTGGACTCCGGAAGGATGCTGGTAAGGATAGGGATAAGGAGAAGATATGACAAAAGGTAGAAGGCAGGGCAAGCAGGAAAAATGAATGGAAGAGGGGGAAATCAGCGTAGAAGTAGAAGGAAGTGAAAAGGCGAAGGAACGAGAAGAGGGGTACGAGGGGAAATGCAGCAGGACACAGGGCAGGATAGGGATAGGATGGAGGCAGGATAGTCCAGGGACAGAGATAAAAGGTAGAACAAGCAAGGAAACCGAGTAGAAGAGGGAGAAACTACCGTGGAGAAGGAAAAAAACGAGGGGACAGGAAGAGGGTGCAAATAAAGGGGCGAGAGGGATAGAAGGATCGGGGCAAGGAGGTGGAGGGGGGGTAGGTGATGGGTATGATGGGGGGGGAGGTGAAAACCTCACACTACTATCGGGGTCTCCATCACAAGAACGATTTCCAAACTGTTCGTTTTCAGAGCCGGTGCCTTCAAGTTGGAGCAATGATACTGGAACAAGACCTGGTGGCACTCTGGTATAGTCTGTACAGATCAGAACTGTGGAAGCATCTTGAGCATGTGACTTGCCATCAGTTCATCTCTCTGAAAAAGTCTGCGAGGAATGTCTGATTGGACAGGACTGCGCATCGGCCAGAGTGGAATCGTTTCGAGGGCGAACTTCTGTTCATATCAAACTGCTGTTCGCGCACGAAATGCGATGCTGCTCTATATTTGAGAGGATACAGAATACTTGGCGGATTTTTATGCTGCCTGAGAAAAATATATTCTCATGTAGCGAATATAGCACAAAGGAAACTTCTTAATTTATGTAACTTAGAAAATAGAAAGTTGGTTTTTGCTTTCTTAGTTGAAATTTCATGTAAACTGAATGCAATAGCATGTACCGAAGGGTTGAATTGAAAATCCACGAAAAAATCATCCCCATACAGTCTCAAACTTTGTTCTTCAAAAAGAAGTAATAATAATAATATCTTATTCTCTTTGGACCATTTTTTTCCGGCTCCAAACTCTTCCTTTGTCCTGGGTATAACCATAAACTGCATCCAGTGATGAGACTCTTAATCATCACTGCTCCCAGGTCCTCTCTCACCCAGAGAGGTAGCACCTGAAAGGGTGCCAGATATGGGGTTACATATCCTAAAGTTGGGCAGCAGCAACATTAGTGCCTAGAACTGGCGGAAGAACCATGTCGATGGTCAACGGTAGTTCCAAGGATAACAGTAGGCAGGTCAGTTATCCTGACTTTGGCTGCTGTTCTGCGGGTGGAGTAGTTCTGGGGGCCTGCTTCACCTACTAGCCTCTTTGTACAACCATGATAATGCAACCTAACCATAATTCGTATAGTCATCATGCTATACTGAAAGAGTCAGCAACATTGAAGTAAAAAGAAGAATAAATATAAATGAAGCATGGGCAGACGATCTTGCCAGGAGATTTGCTGGACACATCTTGAGAGGGTCTGGAGACCAACTCAGTCCTCGAAGGAATGGTTGAAGGAAAGCGTGACAGAGGAAGGTAAAGAAGAACCTAGGGAAATGACATCACAGAATGGAGTCAAACCAACGTGCCTGGAGATGCAAAGAGAAAGGCTGAGGACAGAGATGGTTGAAGGCAACTGGTTGCCAACCTCCGGACCGGAGATGGTACTTGATATATATATATATATATATATATATATATATATATATATATATATATATATATATATATATATATATACAAACTCTTCCTTTGCTTATTTTCTTCCTAAGGGACGTTACGCTGCAGTTTAATGTATAGAAATAAGACAACGGAAGTAAATGTCAGATTGGACAGGCCTGCGCGTCGGCCAGAGTGAATCGCCCTTTCAAAGACGGACAGGAGAGTAAGCTGCTCTTGGGACGGGTGGTCCAAGCTTTCCAAACTTGCAACGCGCAGCTTG